ATAAATGCCTCCCTTTCTTTAAGATCTTAAAAGGAGGTAAGAAGTTCCAATGGACGGTGGAGTGTGAAGAGGCCTTCCAGGGGCTAAAAAAACTCCTAGGGCAGACCTCAGTTTGGAGAGGCCCTGCACTCCAATAAAGCCATTAGCGCGGTTCTCATAAAAGAAGAAAGTATCCTTCAATTTCCTGTTTACTACATGAATAAGGCACTTTTGGTGGCCGAAACTCGTTATCCTGATATGGAGAAGTTAGCTCGAGTCTTGATCACTGCATCCAGAAAATTCAGATCATACTTCCAAGTTTATACAATATTTGTGTTAACTAACTTCCAAATCAAGCAAGTACTTCAGAATCCCGACACTTCGGGAAGATTGTTGAAATGGGCAGTTGAGATCAGAGAGTTTGATATCGTTTTCAAGAGCCAGGCCCTCGCGGACTTTGTGGCTGAATTTGCAAACGTCCTGGAGATGGAAGAAATAATGGAGCCTGCAGAACCTCCCACGTGGAACTTGTTAGTAGATGGTTCATATGGGAAAACAGGCTCAGGAACGGGTGTGGTCATAGTTAGCCCCGAAGGACATAAGCTCAATTACGTAGTGAGGTTTGGGATTAAGGCTACCAACAATATGTCTGAATATGAGTCACTACTGACCGACCCAAGGTTGACTAAGGAAATGCAAGTGAAGAGGTTGCTTGTTAACAGTGACTCTCAGCTAATAGTTAGTCAGGTTAATGGCAAGGGATAAGGCATGGCCGTGTACCTCATATTGATTATGGATATACTCCCATCTTTCAAAAAATTCGAGTTTATCTCAAACCCCACGTGTTGAAAACGCCCACGCCGATACCTTGTCCAAGTTGGCTAGTAGTAAGGACTCGGAACTACTAACGATTGTGTCAATTGAACACCTTTCACAACCCTCCACTACTAAGGGAAAAAATGTAATGTGGGTAGAATGGACGCTTACATGGATGCAACCTATAGGAGTTTTCCTCTAAGATCAAGTCCTTCCTGACAACAAAGAAAGAGCCTACAAACTTAGGAGAAGGACATCCACTTTGTGTTCAAGGATGACGTGCTCTACAAAAGAGATTTAAAGCCACCTACATGCTCCTAGAAATTCATGAGGGAGTTTGCAACAACCACGTTGTAAGACTTACGTTGGCAGAAAAAGCACTACGACATGGGTACTATTAGTCCACTTTGAAAAAAGACGCGATCTAATTTGTGCAAAAATGCGATAAATGTCAACATTTCTCTCCTATCTGTAGACAACCTTCCCAAGAACTAACAACATTATCCAGCCTATGGTCATTTGCCAAATGGGGAATCGACATTATAGGCTCTTTACTCAAGGTTAGAGGTAGTGCAAGCTTTGCTATCATCACCATTGATTACTTCACAAAATGGGTTGAAGTCGAACCTTTGGCCAAAATTACAGAAGCCAACTCTTCCAAATACTTGTGGAAGAATATTATATGTTGGTTCGGAATTCCCCATTCAATTGTCTCAAATAATGGGCCTCGGGTTGATAACAAAAAGGTCGGAGACCTGTGTGAGGAGCTGATGATCAATAAGAATTTTTCAACACCTCATCACCCCTAATCAAATGGGCAAATTAAGGCCGTAAACAAGACCATCAAGTATACTTTGAAAAGAAAACTTGACGCCACCAAAGGAGCATGGGTCGATGAATTGCCTCAAGTATTGTGGACAATCCAGACTACAAGTCGGATCCCAATTGGAGAAATCCCTTTTCTCAATTACTTACAGTGATGAAGAAATAATCCCAGTAAAAGTCGACTTATCCTATCCCTGTCAGTTGCAATTCAATGAAATATCCAACGATAAGTTAAAAAGATACGATGTCAATTTCTTCGACGAAAAGAAGGATGAATCTCAAGTAAAACTAGTTGCATATCAAAGGAAGATGACCCGTTACTACAATGCAAGAGTTAGAAAATATCTTTTCAGATAAATGACCTAGTGCTTCGAAGAGTATTCATATCCACCAAAGAACTAAGCGTAGGTACGCTGGGTCCAAACTGAGAAGGTTTTTGCCCCATCAAAGAAGAACTATAACCTGACACTTATTAGATAGAAGACCTAGATGGAAAAATACAACCTTACCCATGGAACGTAGAGAATCTTAGAATAAACTACCAATGAATGAGCTTTATGGTTGGAAGATCTTTCACAACCTTTGTAAATATTTCTAAGCGATTCAATGAAAGTGCATTTTGTTTAAAGAGATTTAAAACACATGTCTTCCATGAAGAAGCGATTCAATGAAAGTGCATTTTCTAAGCTGAACGTCATGGGAGAAGTCCCTACATGGATGAACCATCCACCATGTATGGAAGCGTAGGCTCCTCGAAGAAGATGATTAGATTCCAAAAAGGATTATCTCATTGGTTCTCCGAGGTGTACATCATATGCCTCTATGACGAAACTGAATGTCATGGGAAAAACCCCTACATAGATGAACCATTCACCATGTATGGAAGTATAGACGCCTCGGAGTAGAGGATCAGATCCCAAACGGGACTACCTTATTGGTTCTCCGAAGCATACAGCACATGCTTCCTATGACAAAGTTGAACGTCATGGGTGACTCGGAGAAGAGAATCAAATCCTAAAAGGGATTAACTCATTGGCTCTCTGATGCATACATCACATGCCTCCCATAACGAAGCTGAACGTCATGGGAGAAGCCCTACATGGATGAACCATCGACCATGTATTGAAGCATGGACGCCTTGAAGAAGAGGATCAGATCATAAAAGGGACTACCTCATTAATTTTTCGAAGTGTACAATACATGCCTTCCATGATGAAGTTGAATGTTATGGAAGAAGTTTCTACATGGATGATTAATCCATCATGTATGGAAAAGTAGGTGCCTCGAAGAAGAGGATCAGATCCCAAAAGGGATTACATCATTGATTCTTCGAGGCGTACAACACATGCCTCCCATGACGAAGCTGAACATCATGGGAGAAGTAGAAATAATATTGAAAAATGTGTTTGGAGGTTCCATATGTTCTCAAGATTAATCTTGTTTGAAATGTTTGAAGGATCATTCGTCTTTGGAAGTCATCATATTTACTTCAGTTTGACTTGCAAACTAAATTGTTTAAGTTATGCACCTTATTGAGGTCCCAACACTTACAAGTTCAATTGTGTTTGTTATGCACATTATTGAAGTCCTAAATCAATTATTGAAGATATGAAACTAGAAGAACATCCACTTAATTGATAAAGAAATCTATACAGAAGATGGTCTTAGCCATTACATAGAAGTAAAATAAAAGTCATATACTATGCTAGAGGTGGCAGAGAGTCTCATTAGCAGGCGCTTCAGCAGCTAGAGTTTCTTTGCCTAAAGCTTCGTCCTCAAGAGCATCCTATTCGTCGACTTCTACTTTAGCTTCCACCGCGTCATCAGTAGGGGTCTGAGGCACCTCCTCCAAGAACTGTACCTTTAGTTCAAAAGCATAGAGTTGTGGGTAAAGCTCCCATACCCTATCTACTACCTCAACGTAAGAAAACCTCCTCTAATAAGAACCGAAGCGCTGGTAATCTTCCGTCAAGTGGAAGTTGGCAATATAGTCCTTCACCACCTCCTCACCTGCTTTCTGAGCACTAGCCTTGGCCTAAGTTGGCCTTCTTCGGAGCTTCTGATGATTATTTTTCAAATTTTTTTGTCAAGTAAAACACTTCACACTGGGATTCATGGATTTCCCTCTTCAGAGCTTCGATCTTTGCTAAAGCCGAATCCAACTTAGCTGCCTCTTCAGTTCGCTGGGCCCTTAGCTCTTCAGCCATATCTTTTATTCTTTTCATTTCTTCCTCTGTTGAGGCCAACTTTTCAACTAACTCCCGGTTGCGCGTCTGAATATCCTTCAGCACTTTTTAGCATTCCAGCTCGACCTCAAAGGTCGTGCTCTTTGGCTTACCAAAGTGGCTGTCAATATCCACCGCATCACAAGTGGAAACATTGTTCTGCCACCTCTCAGTCCAAAACTCGCAAAAATTTGCAGTGGTACCCTAGCCCTTAGGTGACAACATGTCCATCACTGCCGGGGCAATGCCCTCATCCTGCCCAACCAAAAAATTTCCTGACTTTCCAGGGGTCCTTGCCACTACAACCTTCTTTACAACCTCGGAGGTCTACTTTACCTCCTTCGCAGCCTCTTTACCAGTTTCCCTTGCCTTTTGAGCCTTTGCAGTAATGAAGGAAGATTGCATCAGCTTCGAAGATAGTGGATGTGGGGTCTGTTTGGCCACTGGGGCACTTGTTGTGCCGAACTTCCCAAAAGCAAGGCCAGTGCCTGGGACAGTTTTCTTTTCTTTTGGGCTCATCTACCTTCCCCTTGTCCTTGTCAACCTTCTGGGGCTCTTTTTCCTCACTCCTTTCAGCATGTTCTTTATTGAGGCGTCTTAGTTTCCCCTGATATACTTGGCACCTCCGGAGATGGCTTCATAGCCTAGGAGCTCACTGTGGAAGTAACCCTCAATATAGAAGCCATGTCAGGGGTGGGGTACAAAAAAATTTGAATTTATATGCAAAATATTTTATTGTGAGAATGTGTAGTTGAAAATAAGTTTTTTAAAAAAAAGTTATGTTTTAATAGTTGTGTTTATTGTAGTTGAAAATGAGTTTTTTTTTTAAAGCTATGTTTTAATGGTTGTGAAATAGGGGCTCAATAAACAGAATGACTGTCCATATTCCCAGTTCAACGACTTCTTAGAACTATTATTCTACGAAAAGTAACCCTTCTTCAGGCTATAAAGTAGTTTGAGAATGCATTCCAATAGCTTCTCCAGAAAAACACCTAAAAGAAGATTCCTATAAACTTGTTTGGTCCACATTAATATTTTCATTTTCATTCTTCTACTCATTTTCAACCACACATTCTTCAATAAAATAATATTTTCCATATAAACTTGTTTGCTATATAAAGAAGACTCATATAAACTTGTTTGCTATACATACAGCTATACATCTTCAAGGTGATCCTTGTCAGCCCTGCAATCCAATGTCATTGTGCTGCCCGGAGGACCCGAAGGCAGCGCTGGCATTCCTTTCAGCAAAACCCCGTAGAAGTTATCCGAGGAAATTAAAGATTTAGGCTTAACCGTAAGAAAATGTGTATGACTAGCACTGTGAAATTGATCAACCCGCTGAAATATCAGTAAAATTAAAGACTTGCAATGTGAACATAGTGGGCATTATAACAAGTTTTGAGAAGAAAGAAAATGGAGCACTTTTAAGTAGAGAGAAAGAAAGGAGAGAGTGCACGAGCAGGTGCCAAGTTTTGAAATAATAGAGTGATGTATAGGGTTTGAAAATTAAAATATACTTGATACTGTGTATAGCATTAGTTGGTGAAAGGGTTCCTGTTTTTGACCTTGTCTGAATAAAATGTAAATATTAATACTCTGTTATAATAGCATGTTTTGTAACATGGATTAAGTAGCGTCATGTCACGAGTGGCTAACTTTTAAGTAGTTGCTTCTGTCTTTCTTTGAAGCCATTAAGCTCGTAATGTTTGGCGAATGTTTGAAGCAGTTGTTGCTTGGCTTCTTTCGGCACTAAGCATGTGTTTATTCAATACGACGGCAAAAATGCAACTTAAGAAGTTGAAATGTTGTTCAATCTTTTCAGAACCATAGTCCACGATAATCCATATTCCCAGTTCAATGACTTTATAGAACCATTATTCTACTAAAAATAAACATCCCTAAATCAATCCAACCACAAGAAATCATCCTCAAAAGGGCACTTCTCATACTTATAACCACGACCAATATAACCTACCCTTACAGATTTGCAAAGAGAGTTGGATAGTTAAAATTATAAGCCTACAGATTCAACCTTAACTTAGTACGAATAGAATCTTAACAAAAGGTTAACCTCTGATACAAGACTATGAATCTGATAATTTCTGATAATAAAATGAAAGACGAGACAAATTGTACCACCAAGATAAATACCATGTCTGCCAAAAACTTCGAAAATGGCTTATATATTTGAAAATAGACACCTGCCTAATTAACAAACACAGTTATCAAGGTAGGGGGAGACATTATGGTTACAACAAATCCTGACCTATGAAATGTATTGAAGACTCCCCCCAGCCTTAAAAGAACTTCCTAATAAATAGCCATTAATAGCCAAAGCTGCATGTAGTCTAAAAGTTTCACAAGAAAATGAAAAATACCAAAATATTCTCTCCCCTCAGAATTGGAGATGTTTTAAATCAAAATGGACTATATATGCTACAGCAAAGTTAAAATGGTGTCTCAGATGGAAAATTGGAGAGGGTAACACCCACTCTTTCTACTCTGGAAATCCTCATCTCAAATAGTGCGTGAGCTCTCTTCACACATAGACAATATGCTCGTCCATATCCAACATCAACAATGCACATAAATTTATGATTCAATCAGACAATACTTGGTGCGTCCCCTTCCCAATTGCAAACCGCACGATTCCAACGAGTTCTAATGCAATCGACCAATGGTGCATGCTGAGGCGGCTCAGGTTTAGATACTTCAACTGAATTCTGTTTCTCGCCAGAAGGCCCTGATGCATCTGCCATGAATTCCTCTGGTGTCCACCTTGGGGGAACTGAAACTCTCAATTTTGTCAGTCTAGGTCGTTGTATCGGATTTTCAGTTCCAGACAATGCCTGGCTGCCGTTCACAATTGATTTTGCTATCCCATTAAAGTGATAAAGATCAAAGACCTTCTTACCCATCAATCCTGTTGAATCCTTCACACCACCTAAACTCTTATCTAAATCCAAAAGAACCTGCCAAAATTCACTCCAAACAATGAAACCCGTGCCGCAAAGATGCTCAAGCTTCTCGGACGGAAGGTTAATGTTTGTTTCCTTTAGGACTTGATGGAAGCCTTCCACGCTAATGAACCCACCACCTCCACTTTGGTCTTGGGCATCAAATGCTCTCCGGATTTGTGATTCTCTACTTTCAAGTTCATTTTCATCCTGGACTTTAGTATCAAGAGCAAATAACACCGTATAATGAGATTCACTTCCCACTACCCATATTGGCCACCTTGGACATTTCAGATACTGGCCAACCTTACAAAAATTGAGGGACTCTAGCAGAGTGAGGAATCCAACTTCCACGGGTGTAGAGATGCCATTCACAAACATGCCACCTCCTAAATCCATCTTCCCATCAAACACATTAGCAGCAGCATTTCCAGAAAGCAGTAGGTTTACGATTTCCTTTTGAGAAAATCATGTTTAGGAATCACCAAGGGCAGTTATAATTGTAGCATATCAAGTTATCGTAATGAGAACTGTGTAATGAAATTTTCATCAATTTATAGATACCTGTGATGCATGCCCAAATGGAGCAGTTACCAATGGTTGACTGGGGTCATCCCTATCTGCTTGAACGTTTTCCTAAATGGTTTATGAAGAATGAATAAATGCATTAGTCACATGACTCACTTCAATGACAAAGCAAAAGGTTAATGAATATAACTGAAAAAGAATGTGAAGAGCCATGTAAACTAATTAAAACTTTGTTCCAGATAGCTCTAGAATAGACACTAAATTTTAACCCAGGAAGGACTGGAGTAGCACACAAAATAAAGGCACCTAGCTTTTCATAGTTACAATGGTCAAAAAAATATTTGGTTTAACAAATACACACCTGGGTTTTTGAACCGAAAAGAGTAGCTATATTATGATGTATAACTTCGATAACAAAACAATCCAGAATATTCATTGACCAAATATTCTCCTTTAACTAGTAATTGATTAAATAAACAGAAATATAAAACGGCATCCGCACCTGGAAACATTTCCTGCCCAAGTTGCTGGATGTTTGAATAATTAATCTAACAAAATAAGAACATGGCAATGGCATATAGGAAAGCAATGAATATTGTTTTTTATTTTTTTGAAAAAATGAGTCAATTTTTAGTGTATGTTGTATTTATTGCACATCTGTTCATGACGACACGTTCCAGTAATTGCGTCTATGTCGTTAATAAGGAACTATTGTTCTTTTCTGAATAATAAAAAGTAAGAACAATCACATGAAAAAACTGGGGTATATGATATATCAACATACCAGTCCTCGAGAAAGCAAGGCAGATATTAGAAAAAGTAATGCTCCCATACGACTACGAAAAGCAGGGAGCATTGCTTGAAGCTTCTGAAATGCACTTGAGCGCGAAGTGTATGTGTGAACTCTCAGAACCTTCTGCAAGTCAGAGCCAGAATCAATTGAAAGATCTTCAAGTGCTTTTGCAATAACCTGTATAAGAAGATTAAAAAAAAAAATAATAGAAGTGGAATATTTAGTTTATAATCATTGTAATCAAGTTTCATCTTAACATGCTTCCTACCCTACATAATAGTGTGGGACTTTAACGTAAATAGTATCAGCATTATTGCATTATCAGTAGAAGTTTGTCATAAAAGGGATTAATGAAGGTACTGTAACAGCACAGGTCCACTTCATAACCCGACCAAATGTTACACGAGTGTGGAAAAATAACTATGTTTACCTCGTCCGCGGGGCATTCAACGGACCCCTCAATGTCACCATCAAGAACATTGAGCGATGTTATTACAGCTTTTTCATTACTTCCACACAGAAAGAGTATCTCACTCATACTCCTCACCAAGGCTCTGTTTAGGAGCAGAAAAAATTACAAACAATTTTCAGTAATGGAAAGGAAACCAGCGAGTAAAAGAAAGATAACCAAAATCTACCAAATGAACTAGCATTACTTTCCAGGTAATCACAGTACGTAGACTGCCAGATATGCCTCATTCAAGAAAATACAAGATCCTGTATTGTGGTTCACAATAGTTTGCAAAATTTCGTTTAAACTTTGAATCCGTTTCTATATATATATATATATATCTTGTTACACGACAATGGTGGAAAATGTGAAATCATATTGAAATATAAGCTGAGAATAAATAGAAAGTACTAGAAAATAAGTGTCACAAGAAAAAGCATAACCAAGTTTAACTACAATTTTCTATAACAAACTTGACATGAAAGTAACAAATAGATGTGAGTTTCAAAGAATTAAGCTAATTTGAAGCTCGGAAGGAAGCCGTAGGTAACATTTCAAATAATAACTTTTTCTACCTTGTGTATTCTTCCCTCTTTTAAGTTCTGTCTCTGGAATGAAGTTGAAGGTAAAACCAAGTCTAATCCTTAAACTGATAGCAAATAAAGAGATCCACTACCTTGATTTTTTGTCTTCGGAAAGAGAAAAAATATCTCCCGCCACATATTCGTTCTTGGCCGCTCTTCTCAAACCTAATCTTGTTGAAATGTTTGGAGCAACTTCAGATTCCTCTGGAGAAAATAGAAGATATTTGAGTACAAAAGCCTGCACAGCCAAGAGAATATTTTGTTAGCAGAAGACTATACAACGTAAGACATGCGTTCATTAACCTTAAAATCATACATTTCACTCCGATTACAGGATAAACTATTCCTCATTATAATAGTTAATGGTATAATCTAGAAAACTCTGTTTCTTTACACTGGTACGAAAATTGCTTTGCAGATCAACGACAAATCTAGAAACAAGGTTAAATATGACCAGACCACTAGGTTACAAGAGATTAACACACTTCATTTATTTTTCCATATTAAATTACTTCCTCTACAGGAGAAAAGTGGACTAAGCGCCCGTTTGGCCCCCAGTGTTCCACGTTATAACATTTGGTTAACTGGCGTGTTGTGTGTTCTCCTATTAGATCCGGTGGTCACGGATTGAGAAGTCTTGTTCTGTTTAATAAGATCTTGTTGGGTAAATGGCTTTGGCGATTCGGAGTTGGGAGGGAGAATTTTTGAAGAGAAATTATAGGGGCTAAATATGGCGTCATGGAGGGGGGTTGGTACTCGGGTGAGAGACGTGGCTCTTACGGGGTGAGTTTGTGGCGGTATATTCGGCGAGGGTGGAGCGACTTTCGGGACAGATTGACTTTTATAGTGGGGAATGGCAACTCCATCAGTTTTTGGGATGATTGTTGGTGTGGACATCATCCGCTTAAATTGGGATTTCCTTCTTTGTACCGAATTGCTTTGGAACCGTCTTCCATGGTGAATGATGTCTTAGACTTCCATAATGGGAGCTCCAGTTGGAACATTGTTTTTGGTCAGGGTTTGCAGGACTGAGAATTGGATGATTATGCGGTGTTTTTGACATCTCTATATGAGGTTCATATCAGGGTAGGAAAGAGTGATTGTAGCATGTGGAAATTGACACATGATGGTATCTTCTCAGTGCGAACTTATTTTAGATCTTTATTGGGTATTGAAGAGAGTTCCTTCCCCTGGAAGATGGTTTGGAAATGTAGACTGCCCCCTCGAATGGCATTTTTACTTTGGACGGTGGTTAGAGGACATGTGTTGACGGTGAACAATCTTCGAACAAGGGGTTTCTATGTTACAGAGTGGTGCTATATGTGTAGGAGGGACGGGGAGCCGATTGATCACTTGTTTCTTCATTGTGATGCTGCTCGCTTACTGTGGAATGATATTTTGGCGTCACAACACATGGATTGGGTATTGCCAAAGCGCATGGAGGACATGTTAAAGGCATGGAGGAGAAAGTTTCGTAATAAGGATAGCAACCTTGTTTGGGACCTTATTCCGGGTTGCATCGTTTGGTGCTTGTGGAGAGAAATAAATAACCGTTGTTTTGAAGATCAATCACGGATAAAAGCGCAGATTAGGGAATTGTTTTATCTGACGTTGTTTATTTGGTTTAATGTTGCGACTATTAGGCATATAGATGGGGTTGCCTAATTTCATGTCTTTCTTTTCTGACTTGAAATGATTATACACTTCCCGTGTATTAAGCATTGATTAATAAAATTTGATTACCTTTCAAAAAAAAAAAAAAGAGTGTTCCACGTTATAATGAGAGAAATAATAATTTTTTGGAGAATGTGTGGTTGATAAGAAGAGATAAAAATGATTTATAATTTAATGGGGGGCAAACGGGGGCTAAAGCATATTCTAAGTTGTGCCATTGAACTCCTAGTTTCATTGCATCTGAAGAAAGACCATTTACAATTGGTGAATAAGCGAAAGGAAATAAAAAGCTTTCAAGTGGTGAATTTATAGTTGGTCAATGGGGACATTTACAGAGCACTAGGAAGCAAAACCAATGTTTAGCACAGAACAAAACAGGAAGGTTTTAGTTTTAGATGAAGCTAAATGAATATTCAGGAGAGGTTAAAAATGGAAACAAGCTACTAGAAAATCAACCTAAGATCACCTTGTAGAAGCTCATTTTAGATCAGTTCAGTAGCTAACAGGCCATGTTTTCCAAAATCTATCAATTTATCTGGCTTTGCTTACTAAGATAATAAATAAGAACATAAGTGAAAACGTAAGAGGCCTCGCTCTTATCTTTGGTTCAGTGATTAAAGCACATTTAAGGTTGACGAATAAGTAATCAAGAGAAGGTTTGAACTCGAGTTAATGCTTGTAAGGAATTAAGCCAATCTTGAGCAATCAATTCTAAAGCTCAGGCTTGGAACATTAACAACCCCAAGTGGTTACTTAGGTTACCACGTTCCCTACAAGAAATTAGGATGGTATTATTAGAAAGCAATATTTTGTGCAGAAATTTCTACATTTTAATTTACATAAATTTATCGAATGAAGAGAAAGATCAAGATTTTTCTGTACTCAGAAGTAGGGGTGTCCAAAAGTCCCGAACCGAACCGGACCGAACCGAACCCGAACCGAACTGAACCGAACCGAGCGGTTCTTCATAAATTAAATACCCGAATGGGTACCCGAATCGAGACCCGATGGGTTTGGGTCGGGTCTCGGGTCTAGACCAAGAACCGAAGAACCGAATAAGAACCGAAACTAAATAATTTTTTTATTTTTTATATTGAATTAATTAAATTATTTTATTTTTTCTATACAAATTAACAAATTAATTAAATAAATTAAGATTATTTCATAATTTTAATTTTAAAGCTCAAATCATTTTTAAAATTCATTAGCTCATTTTATTTTGAAGCAAATGAATATACTTTATGTAGTTTTGCTGTAATATTAATATCTACTTTTTGGTATTTGTATGCATTGAATTAATCTTATTGGACGGCTAGTNAAAAATTTAATTATGGTACCGAACCGAACGGAACCGAACAGACTCGAACCGAACCCGAACGATTATATATTTATATTTGGACCCGACGGGTCCATTTATTAAATACCCGAAAGTTTTGGGTCGGTTCGGGTCTCTTCAGAACCGAACCGAACCGAATCGATTCACGGACAGCCCTTCTCAGTAGATATTCGATTTTTCTTCAATTTTTATTATTATTATTCTTTACAAGTAAAGATCATATGTAATTTCCTTTCAATCATTGTATTGCAGGTTAGTGGCTTTAGAAATCATTACTGAAACAATTCCTTCCTTAATTCGATTCGTAGTTTGCAATTAAATTTCTGGAAATTCATTGTCAATCAATCAAAAGAAATAAAGAATGGTCTTGATTGATAGTCAGGTGTATCCAAAATAAAAGTAGGTAAGCGGAACAGATAGCCTCGCGCTTTTGGCATAGAGATGTAAATAAATGGTCTCAACTACCCAATGTACCCAGATGACAGAATTTGCAGAATGCAAAGTTCCGAAGTTGCACTAAATACTGCATATAAAGCTAGGAAAGGTAAAATGGACAAACAGAAATTAGTTTACAGAAAATAATCAAAATCCACGATTGCCAACATAAAAGTCATGACTCAAAAAACAACATGAAGTTTATAAATAGTCCAACTACCAATGTTAATAAATGCTAGACGATATAGGAAGATGTCTGACGAAAACTGGATATATTGAATCCAAAATTTAAAAGATCTTAACACTCAATAGAATTGGCATGTTCACCAATGGGATTTGGAAGTTCTGATCTTTCCTATTTTACCTTTGTCTATTTAAAATTCCAATTGAAAATCCTTTAATGTTGAAAACTTGAACAAATTTAAATCTATAATTTTTTGCCAAGGACTAAAACCCTTCATTATTGCGTGAAACGTAAGGAATCAAATTCCCAATATCGACTCAAGGAGCTACCCTATCGTGATCCACTACATCTAAAGTTTCACAGGTGAAAGATTCATCTTCACATAAAATTCAATTGAGTTCCAGTGGTGATTTCGCTGTTCAAGAAATCTATTTCAACTTGAAATCAATCTTGAAGGATGAGGCACATATAATTGTTCAATGTTGGCTAAGTGAATTCTAGTTAAACTCAACCATAACACACCTCCTTTCATGCTAGCTGCAGCATGTTGTTTTCTTTGAGCATACTAAACCCCTGTTTGAGCCCCATTTTCCAAAAATTCATTTTTTCTCATACTCATTTTCAATCACATATTCTTCCAATAAAATACTTTTGCACGTAAACCCAAAACTTTTCCATATTGTAACCACACATTCTCAAACAAAAAAAAAATCACTATTACAAAACTTATTTTTAGCAAAAAAATAGAGCTCAAACAGAGGCTCAGAAACTACGAACAAGAGAGTGTTGTTCCACTATAAGCAAGCATGTAAACACAACACCAGCACTTATATGCTAAATCTTGTACAGTTAAGATTGAATTTGGTGGAAAAGTAAGAAATCAGACTATTACTTGTATGGCTGCTAACACACCACAAGGCCCACCTTCATGCTGCACGAGCCCCATAGATGTTTCTGGATCAGGGCTAAACCTAGAAGGAAAGTTATTTTCCCGAAGGCATTAGAAAAGCTATATGGACAAGCTTACTTGTACAACAGAAGAAACAAGGAGGCAAATGAACTCATAGAAACAGAATGAACTTTGCAGATAACTGAGGTCCAATGAAGACATAACAGCAACAGTGATGTGCATAAGTAAACGCATTAATGCGTAATTGCAAGCATGCACAACCAGGCATGTTTTATGTGCCCACAGAAAGACCAAACTATTACATTGTTGTGAATTTTCATAGCATTAGTGCCACAACAATAATTTATAATGAAGTCTATACAAGTCGCAAGGTCAGTGATGAACTTAGACAAATGACAAGCGATAGCCAGTTAGACATACAATATATGAGTCACGAATATGAATCAATTTAGTCAACCTCTGCTTGTAAACAAACTAACTAACATAAATGGCTTGATAAGTATAGAAGTTCAAATGTTTCAATTCTAACATTAACAACCCCATTGAGAATAAATATTATGACATATGATGAGCATTTGACGATGATTGTAGTAAAGTCTTACGTCTAATGAGCATTTGAAGTGCATTATCATTGGAAATTTGAAACATTTATTTTGTCCAACTGTCACACCTCACTGTATATCATTATTCCATCACCATTTAAGATGTCCATGAAAGTTAAGATTTCAACTTTAGAAAGTTAAAGCCATTATTTGAATGATACTTTTTCCAAATGCTGCTATTAGAAAGCATGTTAATACTATCTGTCCACTATTAAGAATAAGAAAGGACCTCCAAACATGTTCACCCAAAAAATAGATGATTTCAATAGTCTCTTCAAATACCCCCTTTCCTATCACTTTTTAGTTCTGAGATCCACCTTCATGTGTGAAAGATTTACACCTCTACCAACTCTATCAACACAAAGTCGAGATATTTACGCCTACATCTATTTATAATTTTGTGGACCACCTACTCACTTATAGATCTACACCTCTATCAATATTGAGTTTTGATGTGCAGCTACTCAGTTGAAATATTTATGCCTCTACCAATTTATAGTTTTGATGTCCACCTACTTATTTGAGAAATTTATCACCCACCAATTAATGGTTTTGAGTCCCCCTACTAATTTGAGAGATCTATGCCTCTATCAATTTTTTGTTGTAAGGTTCACCTACATACGTGAAGTTTTGAGCCCATACCAATCAATGGCTTTTAACTCCCCCCGCTAATTTGAGAGATCTATGCCTCTATCAATTTTGTTTTGAGGTCCATCTACTCATGTGAGAGATTTACAGCCCTACCTATTAATGGTTACAAGTCCACATTCTAATTTGAGCAATATATGCTTCTATCAATTTTTGATTTCAAGGTCCACCTACAATGACAAGATTTACACCTCTATGAATTTATTGTTTTATATCCACCCACTCATATGAGAATATTTACGTCCCTATCAATGGTTAAGAGTCTTACCTAAAATTTGAGAGATTTATGAAAAGTGTATTTTATACACTTATTCGGGCTCTAAAATATTAATGTTTCATAATTCTTTTAATGGAATTATAGACTAATTTATTATATAATGTGTTATTAGGTGAAACTCAATAAATAGAAGTGGAATTGAAAGAAAGAATTATTATATAATGTGTTATTAGGTGAAACTCAATATAAAGAAGTGGAATTGAAAGAAAGAAACGAAAAATGGCGAAATCTAAAGTTTGGAGGCTAAGGTGCAAATACTCAAAAGTTATGTTGGATCTCATGATGAAGATTCGAGAATGTTAAGAGACAATTGGATGCAATTAGAAGTCAAAAGGAGTGAAATATGCCAAATTAATTTTCAATCACACAAGGATGTTCCAGATTTTCAACCGGAGATTGAGACTATTTTGGCCCAATAGACGTTCAAATTGAAAAAGAACTATTTCTAGTAAAATTGTAGCCCTTTGAGTTATTTTTACGACCTAATTTGAATCGCCTCAATTGGATATCAGGAAAGAAAGTTATGATAAAAATACTAAAAGATGTGCAGTGCTGAAATTTTTCCAAGAGGCGCTGCCTCAATGTATCTAGGGCGCGTTTTTTGCCCGTTTTGAAGCCCATAAAAACCCTACATTGGACACAAGAGTGGGGAAGAGTATGAGTACAAGTTTTTAACATTTTTGAGGGAGTTCCACACAATTTGGGGAGAGAAAACCACGTAATCATCAAGATGAAAGAGCAAAAACTAAGGTTTTAGGACTTTTGCGGTTGAAGAAGATTCTTCCACGTGCTAAGTTAATAAAGGTACGTCAAGATTTCAAAACTTGGTTATGAACTCTATATTTTTTGTTTTCCTTTCATTATTATGAGTATCTAAATTCATAGCTAGGGAGATCAATGTAATCTATGTGTGACCCTTTATTTCTTTTATTCAAGATTTTAGTTTTTTAAATGTATATGTGTTGATTTTATTCATAAATTTAATGTTTTGAATTCTTTGGCCAATTATTCAATGATTTTGTGAATCTATTACGAATCGATATGTGAGTTTTAGACTTAGACCACATAGTAAAATCCAATAATTTAGTATAACGTGTAGAGATACCTATACTAATTATTGCGGTCATTAGATGAATTGATGAATTATTAGGACTAATACTTAGTTTAACTAAGATTGATTCACATAAAGATATGGAATTGAATTAGTTAAATAAACTCAACGAGAACTCGAGAGGGGTAAATTAAATATTGTAGAAGAATTCGATCGAACACTACAATAGTAATGAATCTTGATTGGCGAATTAAAGGGGATCCATAGGTAAAATTGTAAGTCCTAGCATCCACATTCATTTTTTCAAAACCTAAATTCGATAAATTGTGTACATTAGATAATTTAGTTTAATTAGAATAATTTAGACGCCAATCACAAATATTATTATTTGATTTCGATCAAATTAAAGTTATGAATAATTTAACCAATTGTTAGATAGTAGTCCTCGTGGGAACCATGTCCGGACTCATTAGTCCACTATATTACTTGTTACGATTCGTACACTTGCGGAATATACAAATCGACAACAATTTAGCCCCTGCCAATCAATGGTTTTGAGTCCTCCTAATAATTTGAGAGATCGATGTCTCTAGTTTTTAGTTTTGAGGTCCACCTACAATGTAGAGAGATTTACACCTCTATGAATTTATGGTTTTGATGTCCACCTACTCATGTGAGAGATTTACCTCTATCAAATTATGGTTATGAGTCTTCCTAGTTCCTACTAATTTGAGAGAGCTACATTTCCATCAATTTTATTTATTTATTTATTTTGAGGTCCACCTACACATTCTAGAGATTTACTCCCCTACCAATTAATGGTTTTGAGCCCCTTACTAATTTGAGAGTTCTAAAATCACCAAGCTACTATCCACACTAATCATGCTCATGCTAAATAACAAGATTTTATGGTTAAGCACATCAATGTGACCATTTAGCTTGAAGTAGAAAAGTTAGTTGATTAATTACGTGTGCACTTTTCAATTATTAACTTACAATGTTAGTTGATGACAATGCCAAATTGTATTTAACTCTTGAATTTCAAGACACGGACCCAAGCTAGCAGCTAAAGATCACAGATTTACGGCATTACCATATTATGAAAGGGGATGAGTAATGACTAGTAATTAATGAGGAAATACGGCGGCAATATCATCTGTAAACGAGATACAACAAATAACAGTACATTGTTCCCAATAATGTTAAAACTGAACTTTGGGCAAGAACCCATTTTGTGAGTCTCCATAGCCATGTTTCTAAAACCATGCTTTGGTTACTGGAAAGCATAGCAATTTATTTCCTCTCCTTTCTTCAGACATCATATCTCATTCACAAAAGTTTCACTTTTTCGCAGTTACGTTAAGCAACTACTCTTATACAAATGATCAATGAATAAATGGATTATAGCAGAAAGCCATTACCAAGCATATATTCAAAGAGTTAAAACTTTGCATTTCAATAATTTTACCTAATGCCCTGATTACTCCACTGTGCAAGAACATCTTTACTAACTTCACTCCCAAATATAATCGCAAATAGATGGTGAGCCTCCACCGAGGACAACTCTGTCCCCAAATTTCCACTCTTGCCCTTGCATTTCTCCAAATTAACGCTCTTACCCTTTCCCTCATCTCCAGAACCACTAATTTTCACGTCCTTTACACTCTCCACGCTCTTCAGAACCGATACCGCAGAGCTTTTGGTTGCTGCCATCCTCTTCTCCGCTGCAGCAGCCATCAATTCCCGCTGCAATCGACGATTCTTCACTTCCGGCGACTCCTCCGGCACTTCTCTGGAGTCATCCCCCGGTTTGCTCCTCTTCGGCTCCGGAGACTCGTGCTGCTGCATGCTCATTCTCAACGCCATCTTCAAATCCTCCTCTTCTTGATCCGCCATTTGTAATTATATACAGGTATATGTATATATTAACAGATCAGATGAAAATTTCGATTCTTTCGACAAAATACAACTCAACATTTCATCTTTACCTTGATAAATTAGGGTTTCATAAGTATTTCGATTCCTTCATTCAACAGTATATAAATGCGCGACACGCGTTTATTCATACATATACAGAAATCCAAATCAACTCGAAAAATGAATGAAACGCAATAGAATTAAATTGGAAAAATATTAACTGGAAATGTCAGGTGGATGACAGAGACGACAAACGACAGCGTATCAGATAAACCTCGATGCCTTTACGGTGAAGATGGAGCGGGCTTTTGTGCAAATGACTTTATTGTCCTTGAGGATCTCCGAAGGCAGGTGCAACAGAGCATAAAAATATGCGATGGAGTGAGGGTAAGTTAGCAATTTCATTGTCTAGGTAATTATTGGGAGCGTTTCATTTAAGGTTGTCAAGAGATTTGTGAACAAAACGTGCGTCGTATGTTAGTTGATTATTGTCGCTAAGATAGAAATGATTTTATTTTGGAATTGATGTTGATTAATGGTTTCATTCATCTGATGAAGCATGAAGGAGTTATTTTTTCTTCAAGTATCCAAAACAATCGACTTTCGATTTGATAGAGCCCAGCAAGCATCCAACAACAATTAATAGGCAAATAACATTGCACAATGAACCAAGATTTTAGTCATTTGACTGACTGTAAGCTTGACATAGATTATTAGCACATGTTGCAATATTTCAAAGGATAAATTACATACATGCTTGTATGGCTAACATGGATATGTGGTTTAGTTTGGCACCATTCATTTTCACCAAAATCTCTATAAATATTAGCTTCAAACCTTCTCCAACTACACTTTCCATTTGGAAAAAAACACCGACCAGCTTATATTTACTTCCCCGTATGAAGCTACCAGTACTTCAAAAGTAATCATTGACATTATTAGAAGTATTCTGCAACTTATCATTTCAACTCCAATTGTTACACGAAGAATGAAAACAGCTACTCGCACTGAAAATGTCATCAAGAATGAGATGAGTACAACAAGTAATATGTAGGAAAAATGCTACTGAAAATTAGGTATAGACAAGCCAAATCAATTTCAACTTATAAAGCGAGTAGTACTTACTGATTGTTTTCAACATTGAGCAAATGCAACAGATATATAGAGTTAGCAGTGTTTCCAAGCCAAAGAGTCATAGCAATCATGGCACTAATTGGGATGACATATATTCAAAAGTCAACTTAGTAAAATAATTGTTACAACCATCAGATTTGAAAAAAAAAATTCTAACACAAGCAAAAAAGGAAATATTGAAAACAAATTAGGAAAAACAAATCCAAGATTCAAATCCTCCTTCATTTGTTTTCCCTTTAGCTCGGTGATAAACTCTTAAAATGTTTATAGTATCTATGCAACTTCGAATATCGGAGACAGAAGAGTACTCTCACATTTGCAAAGTCATTCCTTCTTCAACTTTCATAATCAGCAAAGAAAACACAACAAAAATTTTAGCTAGAAGTAGTATTCATGAATAACAATATCGAAAAGGGTTGTTATACTGTTTGTTGTAGACTCTTTAGCACAAAAGTACACCTCATTTACTTGAATATAGTGGAATCTGGTTTGATCATTATGTAAAGAGGCAAAGTTGGATTGACCGGAGAAATTGGAATTTTAAGATAAACAAATACCTAAATTTTCTTGTTATTTTTTATTCACTAAGCGATAGTCTTGAACACAATTATAGCCTTTTGTTACAATTTAAACAAAGCTTTCCGACCTAGCAAGCAATAAATAATGTAACATCAGAGCTTAGTCTTAACACCATCTGACAAACAAAAACATGTCATTCAAGTATTCATTCAATGTGTAATTCCGAAAATAAAATAAAATTGCATCATAATAACTAACAGATCAACTCATATTTTCTACTCTCATTAGTAAATAGAAAGAACATTAATTCGATTAACTGGAAAGCCTTATGACATATAACTATAAACCAAAGTATTTATTTAACTAAATTATATATTTCATAGTTGTTCATTAGTTTAGTCTTTAAACATAAAACAAGAAGCACTATTGTATATAAAAGATTTCCTACCAACCCTCGCTAACAAGGAAGAAAAAAAAATTATTTATCCTTACATACAACCTTAGCAGGAGAATGTACGCCAATATCCAGACCTTCAAGGAAATTAGTTTCCTTAGCAGTAGTCAACTCAAAGTATGTTGCTCTCCTTTTACCTGTAGAAGAAGAAAGGACAATAATTTTTTTATAAATTAAAAAAAAAAAAAGGTTTAGTTGATAGTAAGGTGAACGTGCGTTGATTAATGAACTTTTGCTTACATCAAATGAAAATGAACTTTTCTTTCCATCCAATCCCAAGTACTATAGTCCTCCTCCCAATTTCCACATACAACGAAATTTAAGACAACCTAAAAAACAAAAATAAGTAAATGTATTCAAACAACACCCAGATCATAAATTAATATATGAGCAATTTGAGAAACTCAAATGCATCTATATTTGACAATAACTTGAATAGTTTAAAATTCCACTTTG